CAATAATCACCCATATTAATATACACTATTACTCTAGTAACCCATCAATAATCACCCATATTAATATACACTATTACTCTAGAGATACATGATTACAATATTATATGTATTGTTTTTTTCTAGTTCATAAAGCTTGCTAACCCCCAGGTTTGGCTTGATGCTGCCACACAAATCTTTTTTTCCCTAAGTCTTGCTTTTGGTGGTCTGATTGCCATGTCCAGTTACAATCCTGTCCACAACAACTGCCACAGAGATGCTATCTTGGTCTCATGTATTAACTGTGGAACATCTATCTTTGCAAGTATTGTTATCTTCTCCATTCTGGGTTTTAAGGTATGATTTATATATGGTCGTCAACTCTTTATTTTTATTATTCATGTTCACCACCCAATTGGGTCATTTGGTTCAGCATTGGTCTGTCGTGCAGGAGGTGGTGGTTCAAGCCTCAGATGGACTAACAGGGTCTTTAAATATCTAAGAAGAAAGTGCAGCCTTTGTAATTACATCTACAAATGGTTATAGTCTCTCACCTCATCATTACTTACCATTGTCAGTTATCATAAAAGAATCGTCAAGGGGGTAATGAAACCCTGGCAGTGAACAACCTTGGTGTCTTCTCCTCAAGTAACCACCTTTCATTGTAAAGCACCTTTGATCATATCCATGTGGAATAAGTGTGCTATAAAATCATCAGTCATATTCTTTTCGTTATTAGCTTCTTCAATTTTATTGTCAAAGTGTACTAAAGTAACAATGATATTTTCCTATTTGTCACAGGCTCACAAGACCTTGAATGAATGCAAAGTAATCCATGGTCTGAATGGAACTGAGCCTCTCAATGATACTGCTAGACTTGCCGAGTGTGGAAATATGACCTACTGGCTATCACAGGTAATTATATAAAAGATGAATATACTAATGTAGTCCTATTATATGTGGCATCTAACAACATTGACAACAACTACGATAACAACAGCAACCACAATGGCAACACTAAATTGTAATAATTATTGTAATTGTAATTGTAATCATCCCGAGATAATTATCAGAGAGACTGGTTGAAACTGATTGAAAAATTTTTTTATTGCAGACTGCATCAGGTCCAGGTCTGACATTCATTGCCTTCACAGAGGCCATTGTCAAGATGCCAATCTCTCAACTCTGGGCTACACTGTTCTTCTGTATGTTACTCACCCTTGGTCTTGGTAGCATGTTTGGTACTCTTGAAGGTGTTATTACTCCTGTGTATGACCTCAAACTTGTCTCGTGGAGAAAGGAATTTGTCACAGGTACACTTGTATGTCTATATGTTTTTTACAATAACAAAAATTTCTAGTGATCAAAATAACCAACAGAAAGAGCGCRCGCTCGTTGATGTCAGATTTATCTGTCTGTCCTCTTATTGATGATAAAAAATAACCAATCAGCACGCAAGAAATTTGTAAATTATTGTAAAAATGAAAATTGACTCTTGGGAATGATTGCATGCCATTAATATTATTTTGTTGGTGTTATCTTTGGCAGCTGCCATCTGTGCCTTCTGCTATCTGATTGGTCTTCTGTTCTGCCAGAGGTCTGGAGAATTCTGGCTGCAAATGTTTGACAATTTCTCAGGCACTATTCCTTTACTCATCATTGGATTTTTTGAACTAGTTGGTGTATCTTGGATTTATGGCTTGAAAAGGTAAAGAACTGCTGGTCAAGCAATCTGATACCAAACATACATATGTCATTTTAAAACGTAAAAAGGTTCAAAGGTTTTTATTTACCACAAAATACGTAATACATAAATTACAATAAGAAAAAATGGAAAGGTGGAGGGTGCAAGAGAGACAACCCTAGAGGGTTAAACAAGGTACTATTGCACCCAGGACCAATTAACAAATAGATAGTATGAAGCATGGGAGATTACATATACAAACCAAGGTCTATTAATAAAAGTTGATATAAATTTTTTTTAAATGTATACCTATATGTATATATAGAGGATATTACATGGGCGCGTGGAGATACGAATTTTATCTTCGAGCGTTCAATTGATATCTCACGAGTGAGTGCAGCGAACGAGTGAGATATCTAAATTGAACACGAGAAGATAAAATTCGTATCTCCAAGCAGCCATGTAATGTTCTGTTTATTATATAGATATCGATGAAACTTAAATAAAACAAAAGCTCAAAAGTTCTTTATTAATATATTACTATGTCAACAGCGATATCTTCACGTGTGAAAAATATGGTGAAAGATATCAAGTTTTTGACACTAGAGAAAACCTGGTATTTCATTGATGTCTATATAATAAAATAGTATATTACATGGAGGATGGATGGTAAATGATAATATTGTGGTATTGTGTTGTTTAGATTTGAAGATGATATTGAGTACATGATCAAGATGCGTCCAAGTATCTATTTCCGTTACACATGGAAGTTTATCTCTCCTGCCCTGGTGGTGCTCATTCTTGTTTTTAGTATGATTGGCATGGGTATTAAACCTGTGAAATACTCTGGCGTTGATATGAAAACAGTAAGTAACGGTCAATTCAACCAACTAATAAATAAATAATAAATAAATAATAAATCACTTTTATTTAAGTGTCTAGTTGTTCTAGCGCTTTGCACTAATTGGGGACACTTTTCACTCACACACACTACCACTACATTTAATATTCTATGCACACAACGCTCAACTCACATGTTGATTTTTATGGAGGGAGGAAACCGGAGAACCCGGAGAAAACCCTCGTAGCATAGGAGAGAACAACACATCAAACAAACTCAATTCACATGTGGCGACCGCAGGGCTCGACCCGACCCCTTGGACTCACAGTGGTGAAAGACGACGCGTTAGCCACGAACGCCACCCATGCTACCCATGCTACCCATAAAGCTTTACACAACTGGAATGAAAAGGATTCTGTGTATAAATCACTGAAACAATTTGCATAGTTTTATCTGATTGGTCATGTTTCGGGTTTACAGGACAAACCTTCATATGCGAGCAGTCAATGTTGAAGGAGACACTGTTGTCTCTTTCCCTAAACCAACGACATGCAAGAGACTATTTCTATTGTTGTCCTCATACATTTCTCATAATTTGATGTAGTCTTAGTCAATATATTTAATGATTGCATTGTATCTTAACCCAGGGGAAAGCCACCAAGCTGGACTATCCCGGATGGGCTTATTTCCTCATTGCTCTCCTGATTGGCACTTCATTCCTGTTCATTCCTGCAATAATGCTGTTAAGACGCTTTGGAATTTTGAAGTATGAGAGAAAGCAATATGGAAAGGCAAAAGCTGGAGAGGATGTAGCTCCTGCTGCTATTACACCATCCATGTCCCATATTCCCCTGCCACCTTCTGAGCTTCCACTTGCAGGAAGAGCTGTAAATGGACAAGCATAACAAGGAGAGTATCTCTGTTTGTCTGCTTTTTGCTCAAGAATAATGTTATCAAAGGTTTCCAAAAAAATACTATCTTGTTTTATGGTTTAGAGGTACGTCATTTGGTGGTGTTTTTAAGGGTATGTTTGATGATTCAATCTCTCTGAGTTAATAATGTTCTTCTGATTCAAAGAGCAGATAAACATCCAGTAATAAGTGATCACACAACCATCTCCAGATCAGTGAAATAATGGCAGAAACTCCTAGCAGACAGCAGACAGAAAGATATTCAGTGTGGCAGTAGGTCACATACAGTAAGCTTTCTGTCTCACAGGAGCTATTAAATGAATTAAATTTGATGCTTTATTTCACTAGTACAGTTTTGAATGTTGCTCAGGGATAGCCTCAATTTGTGCAGAACATCAGTGTGTTCCAGTAAAGGTCTGTTGAGATGTACATTCTACGTTACTGTTGGTATTTGTAAAATAGTTTCAAACAAAAACTAGGCTAACCCTGAGTAAACAAATCTGATTAATAAACAGTTTGGCAATTTCCATTGCGGCTATTTTTTGTTTCAAAGAGTCCCATTTTTATAGTGACCCAATCTTCTATTAGGAGCATGGATCACCCATTCCACATATTCATCCCACTAAAGACAAGACTCAAGCCATTTATCTCTCTGATTCATGTTGATGGCTGATTAATCACTTATTATGGTATAACATGGGAAGATGGGATAACTATGGGAGGGATGGGTTAAAATGGGATGGGAAAAATGAGGGGATGGAATGATATCCCAGCACACATGGTATTTATGACATGACTGATTACTAATGAGTGCATATCAAATTTTAAGCATGGCCATTTCAAGTAGAAAATGACAACATCATTAAACACTTGCACTGTTTCTATCATTGCTGTGGTTACTGCTGTGCTGTAACTATGGTAACACATCAAGTGTTTCATCACTTTAAGTTGATTCTCATGTAATTAAGTTGGCAAACATTGAAGTCCTGGTGGCTTTAAGTACGATTAAGTTAATATTATTTAAATCATTAATGTCTACTGTGACAATGGTTCCTGTTCACTGTAACCAGCTCTTAAGTTATGTATTTGTAGTAGTTTGTCACTAGTACTAGTACTATGACCACTTGATATCATGTCTTATCCATAACTGCACATGTGGTTCAGCTAGTCACTTGTAGTTAGTACAATAATGATCATCATGTATGTGTGCATTGGTAATTATCATGTCTTATCCATAACTGCACATGTGGTTCAGCTAGTAACCTGTATTTGGTACAATAATGATCATCATGTATGTGTCCATTGGTAATTATCATGTCTTATCCATAATTGCACATGTCGTTCAGCTAGTAACCTGTATTTGGTACAATAATGATCATGTATGTGTCCATTGGTAATTATCATAGGCTTGTGTGTTGGGATGTTTCCCTGTATGTCAGTGTAAATATGTGCTTCAATGACAAAATACATAGCCAGTATATAACTTGGTCGGACATCAGTATTAATAATAATTATCTATTAATATATGACAAGCCATGACAAACTTCAGTCTGCATGGTACTTTATTGCGCTTTGTATTTCTTAAGAATGTTGCTGAAAATTTGAATTAACAGCTATATAATCCTTCATTAGTTACATTCCAACTATCCCGTTACTAATGCATGATTATCTTGTGAGGAATTCCAGTGTTCCTTTTGTAAGGGACGTGTCAAAAACCACAACCATGGAATTTGTATAGGAAATCACACGATCTCAGATACTATTCGGAATTGTTAGGTATGAGAGATTGTCATGAAAGTTTTCAAAGTAGAATTTGAGAACTTTCAAAACACATGAGTATCTATCATTTCAGAATTGCACTTAATTGGGACTATAAATAATGATCAAGTCATTTGTTGAGTGTATCATGATAAACACAGTTTGCTTGATAGATTTGCTAGTTGTTGGACCTCGTGCTGTACTACTGCCGTGCTGGGTGGTATATGCGCTTGAAATAACACTAATAATGTTAAGTACAGAAAAAATGACTGCAGTTGTGGTTTTAGGATAACTGCCATCCAAAATGTGTAGTCGTAGCAAATTTGAAAAATCATCTCATCAAAATGTGTTGACTGATAGGACTGAAACTGTAAGTTAAGATAAAAAATTAATGTATGGTTTTAGAGGTAGAGTATATTTTTAAAATATAATACAGTGATGTCCTATCTAATTACTGTAAATAGGGTTATCATTAATCATTACTCATTTATGGCCCTGTGTTTTAAGCATCTCATAATTTGCTTAACACTACGGGTGTTATATGTGTCCCATATTATGCATTCCACACAATTAGATAATATTCAAGGTGTGTTGGCTTTGGCTTCTGTCAATCAAATTTCCAGCATTAAAGTTAGTATATTTTGATTGACAGATGACAAGATATTTGTAGCAAGATTATTATAATCGGTGTAATCATGTTGTGCTTGTAGTCAGTAGTTTATTATAGCATTTTTATCAGGGCCCAAAATTAGCAGTTGTCCAGTTGTCAGCCATGACTATAATTTTAAATTGGTAACTGGATTTCGGAAGACGGTTGTCCAGCTGAAAACCTAAATTTTTGTCCAGAGTCTGTATGCCGTGTTTGTTGATTAAAATAAATAGCTTTCTTAATGGTTTTCAGTCCATTATTATTTTCAATTCAGGCACAGAAAAATTAAATATAAAAAAAAAGAAGAGTGCGAATGAAATAAGTTTGAATCTGTGTCCCCATTTTGATTGTGAAAATATCACTGGCCAAGTTTTATGCTGGATGCATTAATCCTATCACATTTTGAACAATGGATGACCTCTTTTGAAAGGTAATCTTGGACCCTGGTTTTATTTAGGTTTCTTAGCATTCTCTTCATTGGAATTACATTAAGTATAGTCACCTAGTCCATTTATTTCAACTATTATTTACATCAAAGTATTTAGAAAAATTAATTGATTGTAAAAGCTTGAATTTGCCATCAAATCTTATAACCAGTAATTTGTACATAGTAAAAGTTTCGCTTTGGCTCGACTGTTTAATGATTTATTGATACCACATAAGCATTATAGATTAGTATTAGTGTCGGGTGTTGAGCATTTTCAAATCATTTAATATTATATAACTTATTACTTTTACCTGGAGAGGTTCGAACACCTCTAATGGCGTGACACCTCTAATGGATGGCACAACACCTCTAATGGATGGCATGACACCTCTAATGGATGGTGTGACGCCTCTAATGGATGGTGTGACACCTCTAA